TTTTTTTTTTTTTTTTTTTTTTTTTTTTTTTTTTTTTTTTTTTTTTTGGTACAGGGGATTGAACTCTGGTCCTTTCACTTGCAAGGAAGGCCACTGAACCACTGAGCTAAATCCCCGGCCCTCATTATCTTTTCTTAAATCCAGTGTCCCCTATGTTCATATTCCTATAGTCACAGATAAAATATGTGTTGGATTATACATAAATTCCTGTTAAAAGCTGTAACCCACCCTGTTTCACAGCTCCTAACTGTAGACTGTCACAACACCCTGCTTGAAAAATCCATACACTATTTTTTCTAAATTACCCCATAAGAAGTAATAAAAAGAACCTAAAATAGTTTTATTATGTTCCCAAATATGTTGTGCAAATATGTTCTTATTAAAGCAATTAATTTTTTTAACATGTACACTTTGGTATACTTGAAAAAATAGTCTACCGTTGATGGTTCAAGGTAATTAAATATTTATGAGCAACTAACTTAAAGATAAACTTGACAGAAACATTGCGGTCATATTGAGCCCATAAACCAGGATTTTGAAGCAAAATGTCCTCTTCCCTATATTACAGAGAAAGATATTTGTCCACATTGCATGGTTGCATGTTTTTAGAAGTAGGTTTTCAAATGTATGCCACCCTATGCTGAACCCTGCAATGTTATAGAAACATTAGCATACTGATTTTATTACCATTCAAAATGATTTCAGAACACAATCATCTTTGGTGCTACATTCCCTACTTCCATAGGAAGTATAAACCATACATTGCTCTTTCAGATAAACTAGAAAAGAATGCACAATACCACTTAAATCACCTGAAATGGAATTTCTCCAGTCAGATTTATATAGTACAAAGAAATGTTGAGAGCTGGCAGTTATTTTGTGAATTAGACTAGATAGGCAACTCAAACTCGATGACTCAGCCTCCCACAACTCTCAATTGGACTTTATATTTCAAGATGTTCGAAGATTAAATCCCTTAGCTTGTCTTAAAACACCTCCTGTTTAGGTATTGCAGTGTATGTCAGCACCATCTCTAGCATTTATGTTAATCTCATTTGCAATTTGGAAAGAAAACAAACATAAAAAGTAGACAATTTTATTTTCCCAAATGAAAGAGATCTCCCATCAGCATCTCAAAACACCATAAATTGGCATAATGCCATGCTGTAAACGCAGATAAAAATGAATAAAATTATTTTTGAAATCCATTTTAAGCACTGGCAGATGGTCACAATTGCAGGTTAGAATTATAAAGTAGTTCCGGATCTATGACTACCTGATAACTTTTACTGATCCACTTCAGGCTAAAGGAAAAAAAAAAAAAAGCAATAATGTAAAAAAGAACTTGAGAGATGCTTATACCCTTGAGTGAGCACATCTCCAGGACTGGCGTAATCTATTGTACCTTGCATTTACAATGCAGTGTAATTCAGAAAACTGCCTCCATGGAAGTTTAACCAACCCAGCATTGAATGAAATTTGCTACTCTCATAATAAAGTAAAAATTGGGATTCCTGGAATGCTTCAAAGCAAAGCAAGTAATCCAAATACAACATATTTTGCAAGATAATTTTCTCATACCCATAACAAATAGAAACATAAAATCTCAAAAATACAATTCACTGAAGATCATACTTAAAAATTCAACAGCAAATGTTAAATAGATACTAATTATTGTAAATTAATGCATTTTTTAAAAGTTGCTTGTCTCTGAATGGCATTAGCTTAATCACTTTAATGAAAACATGTCATTTCTGTTCTTTCTGATGTAGACGGTCATATGAAACAAATGCACTAATGTCATCATTTGGACGTTTAGGGTATATCTTCATTTCACTCCTTTATTTGGTCAAAATGGCATAAAAATGTGAACATACAAAATGCCTGTAAAGGAACTTACCAGTGAGAAGCAGAAAAGACTCATTCTGGTCAGCTTCAGTCCCTTGATGCTCTGCTTCAAAGACTAAGATTGCCCCTCGTCGCTCTCTTCCCTTCACAGCTGTTTGGAGGGTTCCCATGGGAGATTCTTACAAAATCAAATCCTGTCATAATCCAGGGGATTCACAGACCATTATCAAATGAGATAGATCTTTATTGAATAAACAATTTCCTAAAGTAATGAAAAACACTGACCTAAAAAATGAGAGAATGAAATTTACCACGATCCAAGTAAACAAATTTGAAAGGTGGCAGTGACATTCCTGAAATCTGGAAGAAAAATGCAATGTTAATAATTATAGGCCTACCTAACTACAGGGAAAAATGAGACGGGCCTTGAAGAAAATGTCACTCTGAATATAAAAGTAACACCTTCCCTTTAAAGGCAGAAGATCAAGGCTATCTTCCATTTTCCTCCCATCTTCTATTCCTCTTTTCTCTCATATCAATTTAAAAATGGTTGGTCCTTTGCATAACAAAATACAGAAAAAAGCATATTTTTATGGTGGAAAGCGTACATAATATGAAAACTACCATTTTAACCATTATTAAGTATACAGTTGTGGGGCACTATCTATATTCACATTGTTGTGAAACCATCACCAACATTTACCTCCAAAGTATTTTTATCTTCCCTAACTGAAACTCTGTACCCATTAAACAACATTTCTCCATTTCTTCCTCCCCTAGCTGCTGGCAAATACTGCATTACTTTCCTTATACATTTGATTGCTCTTGACACCTAAAATAAATGGAAAGATGCAAAATTTTCTCTTTGTGATTGCTCTGTTTCACTTAAGCATCTTTTTCAAAGTGCATTGATGCGGCATATGTTAGAACTTTGTTTTTAAGGCTGAATAATATTCCATTTTATGTTTATATTCCATTTTAAAAACTCATTCTTCTTTTGCTGGGTACTTTGATTGGTTCTACCGTTTGGGTATTCTAAACAATTGCACTAGGGACATGGATATATAAATATCTGTTCAAATTCCTGATTTCGGTGTCTTGAGGTATACACCCGGAAGTAGAACCGGCGAATCATACATTAATTTTGTGTTGAAGTGGCCCCTTCCTCTCTGGTGCTATGCCCATCCCCTACTTCCCAGCCACCCTGAACAGAGCAGCTCTGTTCCTTCAAAGCCTACTGCTGTGGCACTGGTGTTTGGAGCTGGTCAATTATTGACTGAACCCTCCGAAACAGCGAGGAAAAATTAAGCCCCTCCTTTTAAAATTGTATGTGTTGGATATTTTGTCCCAGTGACAAGATGAACAACACAGCATTCTAATCGGGGTGAGTAGTGTTTTATAGATTTCACTTTCATTCACCTAATGACTAGTGATGTAATCTGTAGTAGTTGTTGGTATATCTTCTGTGGAGAACTGTTTTCATTCAGATCTGCTGTTTTTTTGTTGAGTTGTAGGAGTTATTTATATCTTATGAATATGACTCTCTTGCAAGATATATGATTTGCAAATATTTTCTCCCATCATATGGGCTGGCTGTTTCTAATGGGTTGGTTTCTTGTTCGGCTAATAGTGTCCATTGATACAACAAATTTATAACTTGTTTAGTCTATTTTGCTTTAGTTATGCCTGCTTTGATCATAGTTAAGTAATTCACTTAATGTATGTTGCTATATATAATAATTATATTGTCTTGATGAATTAGTACATATGAATACCTCAACTTGATAATTTGTATTCCTCCTTCTCCTGCCTCCCTTCTTCCCACTTTACCAGATCTTTTATTTTTTCAGCTTTAATTGAGTTTATTGGTACAGTACAGTTACATTCATTGGTGGGAACTTGTACCTCTACATGACAAGTCTTGGTTCTCATTTTTTCCCCTTACCCCTGCCCTCCCTTCATCCCCTCCTCCCCTCTCCATCTACAAACACTTTATTTCCATCTTTTCATTATCTCACATTTTTTTCTTTTCCCTTATTACCCTTCCCCTACCTATCTCACCTTCCCTACACCTTTAGTTTACCAGATCTTTTGATGTCGTACCCAACACATCATCAATGACTCCAGGACCCTAGAAATTTTCTCCTTATGTTTTCTTCTAAGAACTTTATTGTTCTAGCCTTTACATTCATGTATCTATACATTTTGTTTTGCATGTTCCTATCCAATTTTTCTGAAACCATTTGTTGAAAAGACTGTCATTTTTCCTTTTAATAGTCCAGACACCTTTGTCAAAAGTCATTTGATCATGTATATGAGGATTTACCTTTGGACTCTAGGTACAATTCCATTGGTCTTTGACTTTAGGAAAGTGCCATATTATTTTGACTACAGTATCTTTGTAGTTAGTTGTGGAAATAAGCGCTCTCTGCATGTTTTCTTATACTATCTTCACACATACACAAAAACTTGAAAATGCTTTTAAATCTCAAACATGTAGAAAATGAGATTTTAAAAAATAGGCAATTTTCACTATGTAAGAAAACTAGAATCTATTCCAGAAATTCAGTCCTCAAAATTTCATAATTTTCCAATCAACTGCATAATCCTGTGTAAGGTTTAGGATGATACTGAGCTCTGAACCTGCTACAAATTCACTATAAAATTGAAATTTAGACCTTCTAGGTAAGTTTTTTTCTTTCATTGAGTTTTTTGGTACATTTGAGGTATACAGTACAGTTACATTCATCGTTGGGATCTTGTACCTTTACATGATATATCTTGGTTCTTATTTTCAACTCATCCTAGATTTATTTTCCTTATTTCCACCATTTGTTTCTAATGTCCTTTGAAATGACATCTACAATTTCTTCTTTTCCTTAACTAACAGCACCTAGAAATTTATGTTTGCATTTTCTGCTGCAGAGTGTTTCACTTAAGAATGTTTTCAGTTGCAAGTAATTGAGTATATGGCTGAGAACATTTATTCAAGAAGAATATTCTTCTCATTTAATATGACATTTGTGGATTGATCGTTTTTAACACTGATGCAGAGGGTCAGTAACTTCTGAGCCACATTCACTGGCTACTGTTGTCTTGCCCTTCCTTCTTGGTTAGAGACAACTGTAAAAGCTCAGGGCATTAAATCTTCCCACAGTTGCTTTCAGATGTAACAGACATCACATGCACTAGTATCATCAGCCCTAATGTTCAGCTGTCCTTCTGCTCCGCTTCCTAACAGTCTCAGCAAGCCTACAATTTTCTCTTCTTCTGCATATTTTCTTTCTTTCTTTCTTTTTTTTTTTGTACCGGGGATTGAACTCGGGTCCTTGGGCTTGCAAGGCAGGCCACCGAACCGCTGAGCTAAATCCCCGGCCTCTTCTGCATATTTTTTTAGGTGAGTAATTTGGTGAAACATTATTTAAGGAGATACAGTATCAGGAGAAGATATAATATTAAATTTTAATAAAAAGCAACAGCAGATAAACTAGAACTTTGAGTTTCTTCCTTATAATCTCACTTAGGGGCAATACTATTATTTTAAATCCCAGTATTTTTTAAACAAAAATTTTCACACTTATTGAAAAAGAGAGTACATCAATCCCCCCGTATTCTCATCCTTTCATACCTATATCCCACGATTATCATGATCTTGCAACAATTGCTTTACCTATTCCTATCATTTTTATTTCCTGTTGAAATAGCTGAAAACCAACCTTAGACATCATGCTATTTCACTCCTATATTTCATTTCCAGTCTAAATTTTTTGAGATTTTCTTAGACGATAAGAGTGTCCTTGCTAAATCTAAAATTATTTTCCCTATAACTTCAAATACCATCCTGGGTCACTTCCCTCAGAGAAAGAGGGAGTCTTATTTCTCTATCCCCTTGAATGGGGTTGAGACTGTGAGAATCATAAACTGAGTAAGACAGAGGTACCCTTGTGCTAGCTCTAAGGCTTTTTTTTCCCTCCCTTTATTAATTTCTTTCATTTTTCTTTGCTTTACTAAGATATAATGGGCAAATAAAAATTGTATGCATGTGTGTATGCAACATGAGGTTTTGCTACATGTATATAAAGTAACATAAATAAAGCAAGCTAATTAACATATCCATCATCTCACACACATCTATTTTTAGTACATGTCTGTCTGTAATGCAGAATGCATTGTTTGGAGGAATTCTATATGAATATACAATATCTCTTTTTAAATTTTAGTAATACATGTTTGCAGTACGTAATGACTGCATTCACTGTAGGGGGATTTGGTACGTGTATCTAACACATTTCAATTTCCTTCTTTTTCCTCCCTTCCTTCACTCTCTCCCTTTCCCCCTATGCTTTGGGCTACACAGTGAGTTCAAACCCTCGCTGAACCGAACAGCAAGACCTTGTCTCAAAAAGGGAGTAATGATATCTTCTCCAAAGATTACGGAACCAATGTTATCTCATAAATATATCAATTCCTTTACCCTCCTCTACCTTTCCTTGCCCCTTCCACTAACCCTCTTCTCTATGTCCAGCAGTCTGCTTTTAGTTTCCTATTATGCCTTCTTTATTTTATTCATTGATATAACTATATTTTAGACTTCTTATATAAAACTTATGATATTTAACCTTTAGAGTCTGGTTTATTTTTCTATCATGTATGTGTTGAGAACACTTGAGGTTTAATCTCTTAATTTTGAAATATATAATTACTAGTACCTATTTTCTGCTGCACAATAGATCTCCAGAATATACAACACAGTGTCAGTTAAGCTTTGTTTTTGAAAAGACTTTCCCTTTCTTCTTGGAATGCAAGTGTCTTATTGTGAGGAAGTCTGAGCAGTAGATGAAGAGACTCAAAAAATTAAGGGTTCCTCTGATTTAGATGTTATAAATTGTACTGCTCTAGACACTGGGATACATATATCTGTGTAGTATTTTCTCTTCGACTCTTTTGGGCAGATACCTAGAAGAGGACTAGCTGGGTTAAATGGAATTTCTATATTTATTTTATCGAGAAAACTCCAAACTGATTTCCATAATGATGGAACTATTTTACGTTTCCATCAGCGATGTAAGAGATCTTCTTCTCACCACAGCCTCACTAGCATTTGTCACTGTTTGACTTCTTATTGCTTGCCATTCCTTCTAGAGTAAAATTCTTTTGTTAAAATTGAGTTTATTGGTACATTTCAGGGATGCAGTACAGTTACATATGACAACTGACATTATGAAATGGGAAGAATAGAGTGAAATTCTTGATTCTTAATTTTGTCCTATGTTTGGTCATTGAAAGACTTTCATTCAATTTTTGTTCTTTTAAACCAACTTATTGTCTTTTGACATTTTTAAAAA